TCAGTTTGATGTTCTTCTTCAGGTGCTGCATTTTGATTGGCTGATTTTAATGAGCAGTCAGACAGGTGTGCCTAATAAAGTGATGGTTACTACAGATAGAAAAAGGCATTAAGTAAAGCGAACCTGAATCCTTCTGGGTCGCTGAGCTCTCATGATGAGCCCAGTTCCAGGACACGACCCGATGCGACAGAAGCAGCACCAGAGGTCACGACCTCCCTGAGTGATCAGTGTGTAAAATGTCGTTCGCTGTCTCACTCTGACCTCTGGTTGATATGGAGGAGATTGAAGAGGTTTGAAAGCGGCTGGCTCCATGTCACCGAGTCAGTTACCGCAGCAACTGATAATCATCTGAGCCAACCACTTGGAAGAGGGGTCACAACCTGTTTTCTTCTTCATCTTTCTCTCTGAGCTTACTCCTCTTCTTACACTCGTCTCCAGTGTTTTCTGTTGGATTTTAATATTCTGCTCTCCTCCACATCTCACAGCTGACCTCTCCTCCTTCACCTTTCTCTGTAGAAAGCACCATCACTGTTGCTTCCTATTGTACTACAGCAATTACCCCCCCTGAGCTTGTTAAAATGTCCCCACTCATTCACAGATAGTCTCATCTCATATCCTCCTGTTTGCTCCAACTAAAACTTAACGCTGGCTCCAATCTGCTCGCCGTTTTCTCACTTTTCTTCTCGTGCTATTAGACAGTTGACTTCATTCTTTCTTTGCCAAGAAAGTGCTCTAAAAATATCGCTCACCACATGCGTAGGTCAAACATTATCTCAACACTGTTATTCTCCCATTATTTTGCAAAGAAAAGATTAAACATTAAGTATAATTAAATGGGCTTGTCCTGTCAGGCTTGTGTTCTCTGCTTCAACGATTTTTTTGATTCTTTATCACAGCGGTACAATTTGTACCTTGAGGCCTCAAATATGAAAGCAACCTTGAGAGTGATGTGTGATGTGTGAGGTGTTGGAAAGCATCTCATGCTGCATGCATGCATGGGGGCGCCGTAAAACCGAGCATCAAGGCAAAAGGCTGATGGGTTTTGACAGTGTTTCCCAGTTCCTAACCAAGAGAGACATTTGAAAAACTAGGCTGCAAAGAGACTTTATCCATCTATAACGTGGATTAAATTTGAAAGAGTTGTGGACCTGGAGGGCTGTCATGTGTCAGACCTGGTTGCTTAATGATGACATGATAGTTAAGTGAACTACAACGAAGCTGGAATGAATGAAGATGATGGTGAGGTGTGACAGGAGCTGTGTGCGTCTGCTCACAGGATTTATCCAGAACCACACAGTAAATAATCTGGAGGTCATAATCTGGTACAGTGGGATTTATTAGGGACCTAAATGAGATCAAGTTTAAAGAACTGCAGCACAGGTGAAGTCAGACGACTTCAGAGAATGACATCCTGAATGAAAGCAGCTGAAATGAGCTTCCTCTGAAGGGTGCAGTGATTACCGGCGATTAGTGCCGGGATGGATGCATCACTGGATCAAAGAGCTAATCTTAATAAATAAAGAAACAAATTCATCTTAACAGGAAATGTGAATAATAGATAAAACCAATAAAAACAGATTTCTAACAGAGGAACGTAAGATGGACGCTGGACGTGTCGACAGTCACTCATTCCTTTCACCAGGAGGATTACTGAAGCTGACGAAAATATAGATGGAAAGTTCAGTGGAAGAAAAAAACATAATGGAAAAATGTTTCGCAAGAAGCAAGGACAAAATGAAAGAATAGCAAGGAACATTGAAGAGTTTGGAGGAGATTCACAGATTCACTACCACACATATAAATAGAAGTTCAGTTAATAGTTCAACCAAGAATAATGTCATAAATGCAGAGATGAGTTCTGGAAACAGTGTTGTGTCTAGTGAGTCTATGTAAATGTTTCACCTTTGGAATTTAATCACTGAAATAAATGAACTTACTGATGGTATGATTTACTGAGATGCAGTTTAATCAGATCTGGACAGAAAAGACGATCATAACTGTTCATGTTGTGAACAAAGTGAGATTCTGCGTCACACCTCCATGTTTTCCTGCAGACGGGTTCTGAAGGCCACAGCTCAGAACCCGTCCTTGTTCCTGAGGTCAGAGAGGTGGCAGGTCTGTGTTTAGAGGCGGTTTGACCCGTGGCTCAGAAAGGTTTGCCTTTCCTAGCAGTGGAAGCAGAGCCGGGATTAGGCGTGTTCAGATCTGACAGATTGAGGAGGGCTGGGCGGTTTCACCGTCGCCGCGGTGACTGACACACTCGGATAAGCTCCCTTCACTGGGCATTAAACACAATTAAGAGAGGGTACTGTATTCCTCCCCAGCAGGACCCTTAAACCTCTCGGCTCTCCCCCTCACTAGCTGTAAATCCACTTTATCTATGTGGCCTCCTAAACTTTCTATTAGTCCCCTGCTTCCCTAAATCCCTTCTCACACTGTATATTATCGGCCTTCAGGACGGCGTTCGCTGTGAATCTGTGTATTTGACGCTCAGCGAAAAGGACGACCTCGCTCCACTGTTTTCAAATGACTTTTGGACTCCTCTTGTTTTTAATCAGTTTGCCATTAAAAGGCTAATGGTGCCTCCCAATGAATTCAGCTTCACTGGAATTATTCAGCGTTTAAAGGACAAAGCGTTGGTCTGCTTCTCTCTGTTCTTTTGCTCCCATTTGCATGTCTTACCGTGTTGAAAGCTTCTAACGTTCCACATGTTACAGCTGCATATTTTATTGGGTTTTATTGTTGGGCCAGAATGTTTTATGACAGACCAACACAAATCAGTGCATTTGGAGGGAAAATTTATGGTAAACATGCTTTTTTTAGCCTTTAGTTTTACAAAAAGAGGTCAGAATCTGTGGTGTTCATTTTCTAAATCACCTGTTCAGAGTTGTTCTCTGCTGACTGAACCTCTGGCCCGGTCTCAGGTCCTCTAACAGGTTTTCCTCTCAGATTGGCCTGGTTTTATCCCCATTAAAGACCAGCCCACAGCATGGTGCTGTTTTTTAAATTGTTCTCTACAAACCTCTGAGGTTGTTACAGAACAGCTGTGGTTCTTTTTTACGTGGTTGGACTACAATGATTAGGATCTCAATTTTTTTCCCACTTTTCTCTTTTTTGTGTTGGACTGCCACGTATTTTTTTCAGTCTTAGACTTTAATTTGAACTTCTTAAATTTTAACACAGTACTTTTTTGACATGTTCATATGTCTGTAAATCTGACACATAGGCGACATTCACAAAACACAGAAACACAGTTTCTCTCGGCCCACTGGGGTTTCATTTCTACTTCAGAAAAAATGTGATTGGACTCTGGAAAAGGCTGTTGTTGTGTTCAGGTTGTGCTAAAAGGAGTTAGCCTATCATCGAAGCTATTCAAGCCTAAAATAGCATCTCAAAGCTAAACATGACTTAATGTCAGTCTTGCACTTTGCACCAATCTGATGGTTGGAGATCCTGAATAATTGATTAAAAACAATAAATAACTTTGCTTTGAGCTCATTTGTCTGTTTATTTTATAATTTAGTTGCAAAAAGGGTTTTGAATTAAAAATGTTGCTTATTTTGTCAATTAAAATTAGATTATTTATAGATCCAATTGTACTTTTAAGAGGCTTTTAAACTGCATTATTACGATGAGGAAACTTAATCGAGTCTCTCTTGTCGTACGGTTAGAGTCGCTCCCTCAAGTCTGAAAATCAAGGATCTTTTGCAGCCTGCGTTTCCTTCAACCTTGACAGAAGACCTTCTGAGCAGGCTTTTTACAGGATAACCCACTCAGCTGGTTAATTTTAGCGGACTCAAGCAGAGCTCTTATCAGTCTTGATGCATTACTCTGCGCTGCTCTTTCCGCCTTTTCTTTTTAATTGATTCATTGCCTGCTCTCTGTCAGGGCGGGCATATCATCTTCATGAGAGCGCTGCTCTCCACGCACCAGGCCTTTGTCTTCACATCAGCCTGTGTGAAGTCAAACCAGAGCAGCTCAAAGGTCAAAGTTCAGCAGCAGTCAGACTGAGCTCATCTGACATTTGAGATGGGGATGCGTGGCTCATGCATGTATCCTGTAGGACTCATTAGACCTCAGGCATCTCGCACCATTTCCTGACTCTTGCAGTTAAAGCTCAAAGATACTTTTACACATCGTCGCCTGATGGTAAGGAGAGCTGGAGCTAATCGGTCTCGCAATAATTCTGTTCAAACCTGTTTTAAATCAAAGTTGATATTTACTGAGGATGTCACAGAACCAAACAGTCCAGAAATGGTTTCAAACTAATGATCCCAGCCACGCATGTTTGCAAACATCAATTAGAGCTTACTGAATATAATTCCTATATCTTTTCCAACTACAAAAAAATCTGTCTTTGTTCTTTTTGTTGGATGTCATCTGCAACTGCCCCCATTTCTCTCACTCTCTATATTTTCCAAAGCCGCGTGACATTATCTCTGAATAAATAGACCAACACATCCGCAAACCAAAGCCTTCCTTAAACACTCCATGTTGCGATAACGTTCACTTTGTGGACGCCGCACACATCAGCAGGAATCTGCTGGAGTGAGATTAGGGAGCTGCCTCTTGTTAAAGTTCAGATCCTCTGCAGGTGGCTTCAGAAAGCCTGGAAGATGTCCGCCGTGAATCTGGGACTAATTACATATCTGTTTGTTCTGGATTTATTGTAATCTGCTCACATAATCAAAAACTCTGCGGCTCAAGTCCAATTTTTTTGCCCTAATCTCTCCCAGAGCTGTTATTGGCTTATCGCCGCTGTAATTAACATAATCCTAGTTGGTTTTTCTGGCCGTGTTTAGAAACTGTTTGGGTCCCTTGGCAGCTGGAAGGACCCAGAGAGTTCGGCTGTATGTTTTTTTTTCTTTCAATTCAAAGGTAACCGTAGTTGCTTGAGGAACTACAGTTCCAGAAGAGCTGGAAATGTTTGAAGATTGTGCCTGAAAAGACTCCAACTTGTCCGTTTCTCACCCTCTCCTCTGTTGTCTTCTGCTTTGCAGTTGTGTGGCTGTGGGCTGCTTGGCGTGGGCATCTGGCTCTCTGTGTCACAGGGCAGCTTCGCCACCTTCTCACCTTCATTCCCGTCTCTGTCAGCTGCCAACATGGTCATTGCCGTTGGCGCAATCGTCATGGTGACGGGCTTTCTTGGTTGCCTGGGTGCCATTAAGGAGAACAAGTGCCTGCTTTTAAGCGTAAGTTCAATCTCTGTATATTCAAACTTTATATTAGTTTTTTTTTTTCCATCAATATTTTTATTATATTTTTTACAAATTTGGCATACCTGCCATATAACCAATACAGTCAACAAGACCAACAAACTCTTAGATTTCTATTTGTTTTAGTATAAATGTACATACTTCTCTTAAAGATTTGCTGAATAAACTAATCTGAACTGTTGAAAAGTTTGAAAACCAATGAAGAAGTTGCGTTTTATTCATGTTTTAAGTAGTTATGAATAATAAATACCTTATGTGAGTCAGAGATTTTGAATATTCTGTTACAATACTGGTGATTATCATACATCATAAATATAGTCACAAAGTCTGGATTAGTTTGAAAAATATTTGTGTTTCTTCATTTACAAGAGGAAAATCTGGATTTATGGAAAGTATCAATATATATATGCACAGAATGTCTTGTTTTTATCATTTGCAGCATTTGCACCAAATAATTTGGACGTTACTGTTGATAAAGGCTCTCTCGTTAAAATGGGAAATGTCAGTTTTTTGGCCATTGGACCTTCATAGATCAGTGTTTAAACTGAACTTAGTGGGTTTTGTTTTGTTTTGGGGTTTTTTCAGGTTAAAACGCCCAACAAGCAAAAATTAGTCTTTTAAATGAATCACAAACAACCCAGCTGGACATTTTGACAAGATTAGTTCTTGTGCTAATCTAATGGCAGCAACTCATTATAAGTGGAAATGTGTTTATATAGGCACAGAATTCAGTTTCCTGCTGACAACTTTAATTTGTTTGGCAGAACTCTTTATACTGTCAGTTACAGAACATGGAGAAATAACAGATCTGCTCTCCTGCACAGGTTCAGTCAGGTTAATGCATGGATGTACCCAGATCAGACATGACATGATGAATCCTGACATGTGAAGTAAAATATAGTAATTATCTCTTTTACACAACTCATGTTGGCAGCTGGGATTTATTAGGCAGCAATGGAACATTTAGTCATTTGAAAATGGGAAGTAATCAGGATTTGAGACTGATGAAGGATGAATTGAAATACCTGGACAGCTGGGATCAGAGTATCTCCTGGACTGCAGGCCTGGTGGTGAGTTCCCAGTCTGCGATCAAACTGGTCCAAGCAAGGAATAACGGCGAATCAGTGAAAGGCTCATGTTGCATGTGGAGAAAAACATCTTGCCAAAGTCCAACAATCTGCTCCAAGTAGAGCTGCTGCTTCTCCACATCACAAGCAGTCAGTTGAGGTGCTTTGAGCATCTTATGGAGAACTTTGGGTTCTGCCATCCTCAGTAAGGATGCTGCAGACCACTACTTGATGGAAACGACATTTCCTGATGACTTTGGCCGACTCTAGCAGGGTAACGATCCCTATCACAAAACAACACTGGTTCAGGAGACTGACAGTGAGCTGAGGTGCTGATTTGACCTCCAAATCCCAGATCCTAACCCAACTGAGCTGAGTACTCTGAGCAAACATGAAGTACAGGGCAACATAATTAGCTAGGTGGTCATAATGTTATGCCTGATTTGTGAAATAATGCTTTTTATTTTAGAAAGTTAATGTGGATGTGTAGAAGTCATTAAATGTGTTATGATTAATTTAGAGGCCTCAACAGAGGCAGAAACGTTCCAGTGGAGGTTCAGTCTGTTTTCATTCTCAGTACGGTGGAAGAATGAAATCCTGGAACGGAGCTGCGGGATTCACTCTTTCTGAAAATTAACACGCTTACATGTCGTTTGCTTCCCTTTGGTCGCAGCTCATGTCATGTGCTGGTTTAAAACTGGAAACCCAAATGAAGGAGCGGTTCCTGTGGGGCGAGAGCAGAAAAGGAAATAATCTATTATAGAAACTGGAGGCTGGCAGGCGGGATGTCTGCTGAAACAGGCTGACACACCGAACATGGCAGAGAATAAAGACAAGATTACACCAACCAAACAGGACAGAAATATAAAACACAACCAATGAAGATAAGTGAGTGAACTGAGGAAGGCAGTGAATGACAACCGATCCGTGTTCTTCAGAAAACGATGACCTGGTGTCAGTTTCACCTGTGGCCTGGTCTGGTTCCCAAGAATGGAGCAAGAAATAACTTTGAGCAATTTTTTTCTTCAAAAAGTAATCACCATTTTTAGGTTTTACTAAATAAGTTTCACAAATCAAAGCTGTTTATGAGTGGGGAATAATTCCCACCAGCATAAGAACTAAACTTCACTTGCACATCTCATCTTTAGCCAAAGGAAAATCCTCTTTCACAACTTCAATAAAGGTTTTATAAATCTCAAATTGAGCTTTTGAACTACAGCTGATTCTTGTGCCTTTTTAACACAGCCCAACATATCATCAAGGCCAAAAATATTCACCCCTGCATATACATACCAGCCTCATTGACAAAAAGAAATCTACATCTGCCACGGGGTATGAATAATTCTGGATTAAATGTTTTTTATGGGAATAACAATAAATAATAGAATTTTTTATAGGAAAAAACTTTCAACTTTTATTTGTCCCCTGATTCTATGGCACCCTGGGCAGAGAGCCATGTCGTCCATATTAAAACTGTTTTGGGTTCAGCTAAACCAGAATAATGACGACTGAACGAGTCAGTACAGAAAGTCGACTCTCCTTCAATAGGAAGCTTTGTGAAGTATGTCAGCAAATGATTGCACCATATGGGCATAGCACTCTGAAAAGCACTTAATATTAATGAGTTAAATAATTAAAATGTTCTATTATTCATTATAAAACCTAGTTTGGCTTGGCTTTGCTCTGTTTGGCTATGATTTTATAAGTGTTGTATCTGAAGCAGTTAATGATGGAAGTTTGTTCAGTTGAAGGATGTTTAAGTGGATTTGCAAAGAAAAAGAAAACTTTCATGTCCAGAAAGTTTAAATGAGAGGTAAAGTTAGGCCTCTGACTACTTAACATCACAAACGCTCAATCCCTTGAAGCTCTTGCATCAGTCCAAAGCCGTTCCAAATCCTCGGTGCTAGACGTGGCTTCCTTCACCTGGCTGACAACTGTGAAGTGGAGGAGAGCAAAGTGCAGGCAGCGAGGAGGCAGGTTGGAGGCTGTGAATAATAAAATGGTTTAATGCAAAATATTACATTTAAAAGTCCTGATGTTTCTTATTAGGCAAAATGTCAGGTAGGGAACATCGTCTGCCACATCACTGAGGGATGGCTTTGCATTTCAAGCCATGCTGAGCTTTTTTATGGAAGAAGTGCTGTCTGAGAGTCGGGGTTGTTTCTTTTTCTTTTTCTTTTTTGCACCCAGGGGGTTGTGGGAGTTGTTATTGGGGCTGATGGTGTCATGTCGTTCAGAGATCAGTGCAGGGTTGGATCTCAGGGGGCGGACAGAACCGAGCGTTTACCTTGACAACATCTCTCTTTGGATTACAGCGCATTCAAAGCTCCGACATCCTCTGCAATATTTTTTGAGGTTCTTTCTTTTTAGAATGTCAGGAACTGCTTACTAAGAAAATAAAAGTACACATGAAAACACAAAGATATCTGAAAGAGATGTAAAATGTAGAAGCAGTCAGCTGTAGTCGGTAGCTGAGTGGAAAAGCAACACCAGTTCTAAAACCTGCAAAGCAGATGCTAACAACAAAAGGCTGCTGAACGCGTTTTATGTGGGCCATGGAATAAGAAACGGTTCGCCCCTCCTCTCCCCAATGAGCATTGAATTAATTAGGTTTTTTAGGGATCTAGGTTTGTTTCCTCCCATGCTGTGCAGAAAAGGTTGTAAATATTGAGCTGAGGCAGCATCAAGGAAGACACATGGCAGCATCTGAGAGGCAAAACTTCAGAAGAGTTTAATATTAAAGTGGAACTACATCCCAGATCAACCTTTTTTAATTGCTGATAAACTGTCTAAACAGGTTAGTCAGAGATTTGTTTTTATGTTTTTGTGTGAATTTTGACATTTTCATGTAAATTTGTGAAGTTCTGCAATATTTTGCCTAAAGTCTTGTTAGTGCTGCCTGCTTTAGGTTGAATGTTGCTTAAGCAGCTGAATTTTCCTGTTGGTTACAAACAACTCACTCAGCCCCACACTCTCACTCAGGCACGCCCCCTGGTGGTGAGTCAGGAGTTGAAGTAATGATCATCTATTGATTGCATTATGAGCTTTGTAAATGTGTGAATTTTTTTGGCAACATGGACAGAGAGTGGAATGTGTCTGCTGTGACTGCAGGCGGTTTGCTGCAGGAAGTGGGAGGAGCTTATGACAGCAGAGTTGCAGCGTTGCTGCAGACCGCCATAAGTCTTCAACAACCCAGAGAAAACGTCACTAGTTGTTTTTTTAAGATGCTAGAGGATCTGAAATTCCACTAAGTATAGCAACAAAGTTCGTCCACCCTCTTGGACACACCCTTCATTGTGTCTTGGCTCCGCCCATTTTGGTGAAATTTTTCAAAATTTTCCAAGAGAGATCTGAGATTATGTTTTCACTGGAGGGTTGGTTTCAATCCACCTTTTTTTCTCTTCTTAAAAAAATATCTGCACTTCCTGTAAATGTTTCAAGAAACATTTACAGTCGACATTGTTAAAGAAATCAAGCAGCTTTTATTCATGACTTTTTGTTCAAGCTGTTTTTTTATAAATAAAAACATTCTGTTCTGCAGAATATGACAATTGGTTGGGCTACAATTTCTCGACAGTCTCTCTTTACACATGTCCTTCACGCTGGGGGGGATTTCTGCTGTTGTTGTCTCACAGCGAGGGATCCAACATGGTGGCATGGAGACGGGCTCCAAATGCTTAAAATCTGGTTTTCTATCCAAAAAGAGAATCTCTGAGACATTTCAGGACTGCAGTGTATATATGAAGAAAAGGTAACAGCTTCAACTAGAACCTAGAGACGCAGTCTGTTTATTTATTTAGGAGTGGAAATGAGATGATTTAAATGTGAACTAAATTTAATAAAGATAGCAAAAGCAATAAACAATCTCACATTCTGCGATTAATAAACCAGCTGCTCTGATTTGAAAAAAAAATGAAAACAACAGTAAAAACAAAGTAGTCCTCCTTCATAATGTCTATCTATTGATGTCACTGTTTTTATTGTATTTAAACCTTGCTGATATTTTCAGGTCTTTGAATTTGTTGCTAACTTTTGCATCGATTCGCTGCTCAGATGAAACTCGGTGTTGCCTAACAACGGATCTTGCTGGAGGCTTTTTCTACAATTGTTCTCTGAGGACATAAACTATTTCTCTTTTGAATATGTGCAGCTGAGAAGGTTTTGATTCATGCATACTTCGTAAAGTCCTGAAACTTTATTATGTTTCCTGTGAGGGAAAGGCATTTTTTCTCATTCTGACAGTTACTCAGAGTTTCTGTGGCTCATTTTTAATAATTAATTTTGCTTTTCTACGCATCTTTATGTGTTTTTTATGTCTTCCTCCAAGCAGAAAATCATGTAAAATATTGAACGTATGTATATGAATTCTGACATTATTACACCTTTCAGACATTATTATGGTTAACTTCCTTCCACCTTGACTTTCTGTCTGTAATTTCTGTGAGAAATTTAATTTCAGACACTTGTGTTTCTTATTATTGGAATATATTTTATCTCAAGCTGCAGGACGCCATCTGTTTTCATCTTCTGTTTGACAACATGTGTTTGTAAAATGTCAGAGCATAACTTTAATCATTGATATTTTCAGAGCAGCTGCTGAAAAAGACTTTTTCTGCTTGTCCACCAGTTCTTCATCGTACTGCTGATAATTCTTCTGGCAGAGCTGATCCTCCTCACCCTCTTCTTTGTGTACTCTGATAAGGTGAGTTTGCTCTGCTTTGGTGTGCTGTCCACCATGCTATGCATACTTTGTTTTACCTCGACTTGTTCAGTTTATTCATGCATATTTAATTCTCTCCTCTTCTGATTTTCACTGGACCTAAATTATAATTAAAGCAGCTTTAATTTATATTAATTCCAGCTTTAGCTGTCAGAAAACAAAATGACTCTGCACAAATGAAATGTGATTCATCAGGAGCTTTTAATACGGCCACCATTAAAGCACTAAGTGTTCCTTTTCTAAAAAAAAAAAAAAATAAAAAGTTTTGATTTTGATAGTAAAATCATCAGTCATGTAAAATTGGTGATGTTATTTTAGCTGCTTACCTGATGTTAGAAGCTACAGATGCAGCTTCATTCCTCAGTCGTGTCTGTGAGTCTCCAGCTGCACCTGCCAGCAGCAGGTCTGAGCACGGACAGCAGAAACAAATCGGTTCTGATCAGTTCACTGGCTGGAGGATGGCCCTGCATGTTCAACTCTAAAGCTAACAGAGAGGGAATACCTTATTAAACAACAGGTACCTGAGCATAACAGTCTGAACCACACTCATCTGAACGCCAAGCTCTGGTAGAAATGATGCAGCTGGTTTTTCTTTTAGTTGTTTTTTTTGTTGTTGTTGTTTTTCTTGCTAAATTTTATCCTAAACAGCCTGAGAGAGTTGGGCTTGATTCAAGTTTGTTGTGCACGTCTTTAAGACTTTTCCTCTTTTTCTCTATTGTCTACTGGGACAAACAAATGCATCTAATCTAAATCTATCTTTTTGACTCCACTTCTTCAGTTCAAACCTACCAACAGCTACACTCAATCCAAATAACTAGAGATAAAATTTAGCTTTCTTAGAGCTATTTTTCTGTTATTTCCTGTTTTAATTATTTAGCTGAAGTCTAAGCTAGCAGGAAAGTTACAAAAGTTTAAATAATTTCTCTGTACAACGGCAACAGTCAGGAGTTGAGTAAAAAAAAAAAATCCAGAGCCTGTTTATAAACACATCTTTATATAATAAAGACAGTCACCAATAATTGAAAGAAAGATTGGATGACAAAATGTTCCAAAACCTGCAAAAATCCCTAAAACTGATCAGGGAGGAACAGCAGCAATTCTTCCCAGGATTCTGTCCTGTCGGGTTAGATGGGGTTTCTTCCAAAGTGTGGCGAATGTATCTGGCAACCTCAAATATTTGAGCCCCATTTCCAAGCATTTTGGCACAGTAACAACGCTAAACATCACCAAATGATTGCCAGAGTGAAGCACGGTGGGGGCTGCATCATGTTTTGGGTTACATTTTCTCATCAGAAGCTTTTTATGTATTTATTTAATGAGGCCAGATGATTGGGTCTCATTTAGAACCTCAACATGAGCTCAGATTCATGACAGATAAAGTTCTGATAACCTTCCAAACATTGAACTTTATTTACAGAATAAAAGCATTATTTCATTCAGTCGGGTTGTGGGATCCTGACAGTTTCCTACTGAAGAAAACTGAATGCTCTGAATCCAGCAAGGTATTAAAGGCAATGCACACATATGCAGTGAGAGGTTATTGCAACTTTTCCTTCGTTTCCTGTAGACTTATTTTTCTTTTTTATAGTTGAGCTGAATAGAATAAACCGAAGATTGAAAAAGTTTCAAAGTGATTTATTGTACTCTCTTTTTCATATCACAAATCCTGGAAACTTAACAGGAGTGTTGACAATTTTAGAGCCATTGTCGGCTATATAAATAATGAAAATACTTTTCAGCCTAACATATCATATGTTACCTATTGAAAATAACTCCACTCCACTCTCAGCTGTTGATGTAGGGAAATGTCAGCCTTGGCATGTCGGTGTCTTAAAGTAATAAGAGTTTCCCAGTTGTCTTCCAGGGTCAGAGTCCCCTCCCCCCCTGTCCTTGTATATTTAGTATTTTCTGCAGCAGGAGCTTGAATGTCTTCATGCTAGCGTTAGCCCAGCAGTCAAAGGTCAGGGTAGCAAACCGCACCAGTTGGCTCCGTGTAATTAGCCTGCCGTGTTTCCCATGACCTCAGCAGGTGAAGTCAGGTGAACGTCTGGGGCGACAACAGATGGAGTTATTTCAGGCTGCAGATATTACCCGACTATATTATCCACAAGTGTTTCTTCACTGCGATGACAACTTGTCTTTCACAGGACAAGCACTTACGACTTCTGTTTGTTTTCAAGGACAGTTTGTTGATAGATGTGTGTTTTTTCTCTCCTACTTTTAACCCTCGGGACGTCAGCTAATTTTCCGTCTTTGTTCAAAGGTTATTGCTCAAACTTAAACTCTCAAGCAGATAAAGGAATTCATTTAGCAGCCCATCAGTTCTCAGATTTGGATCAGCTCTCACAGGCATGCCAAGCCAGGAGTAAATATGTTTGATGCCTTATCAGTAAAATATTTCTGGCTTAACTTTTTATGGAGAAGGGAAAAAAAAGAAGAAGAAATCTTGATCCCTTCTGGGGAATTTAAATGGAGAGCCTCTTTGCGCTCCCGTCACCTGTGAAGTCAGAAAAAGATAGCGAAGCAGGGCTGAGGATTTTTTTTCCAAATGAGAAATGAAATGAGTTTGCATTAATAAAGGATTGGATGTTGCTCTGGGAGAACTCTCTGATCCACACATGTTCCAGTAAATCCCCCATAACGATTCATGTTCGTCCCATCTCGCAAAATTACAGTGAGTTTAGGCCTAATGGGATGTGAAGCTGCGATAATGTGGATCGGGAGCAAATCTGTTTCCTTTATTGGTCTTCAAATGTCAGCGGCAAGTGAAGCTATTAAAGCTAATTATGGGAACTTTCAGCTGACTTCTAAACAACACGCCTGCAAAGTTAAGGGGATTGTTTAGGGCTGGATCATGAGTTACAGACCAACTGAAAGTCGAGATCAGATGAAGGACAAGCGCTGTACATCACATCCAGCAACAAGAAATTGCTTTTTTTGTCTTTTTCGCTCCTCAATTTCCTCATCTTAAGTGAGATTACATATGCTGTGTGAGGCTCTCGGCATCCGCCGCTGCAGGCTGTGATCAGAGGAATCTCTAATTCACTTCTCCTATTTGATCCTCTAATCACAAGGCATTTATTAACAAGTCTGGAAGACATACAGTTGTTGGCAGCTTTTAAACATAAATCAGCCTGCAAGACACAAAATTTATCTTTTAAATAGGCCATGTGAAAGTCATGAGTGACGCCTCGTGTGAACTTCAATCCTCCTTGTGTGACAAGCTGTCAAACACATGGAGAACGCACCAAAAAGCTGGGAGATGTTCTTCTGAAAGCCTTCGTTTAGCTGGTCGTTCTCTCACATTTCCACCTGTTTATTCCAGCATTAGAGGCGCCTTTCTCCCCCCTAATGGAGAAATTCTTGTTCATCTTCCTCAGCCCAGCAGTTGTGCCTGCAGGTATGTGTGTGTCCTGCTTTTTTCCCTCCGCAGCCCTGAGATGTTAAGCTTCCTGATTAAATGTCGTGTAGAGGCGCGTAGTATAATAAAGGCCGGGCCTGCAGTTAGCAAGCAGCTGACTGCAGCAGATGGCTGGACCACAAACCAGATTACAGCCATCCGTCTTGAACGCTGTGACCTCATTGCGCCTTCGTTGCCCAACACGCCCAGCCGAACCCTGCAGAAGGTTTATTAGGTCGGAATGAGAGCGAGCCACGATGCGCAGCCAGAGAGCGGGGGGGGGGGCGTAGGTGAGTGTGCAGATGGAGGTGATAGAATGAGTGAAATAAGATGTCAAAACCTTTAATTTACCTTAGAAGGAGCTCCAGTCATGAAGGATGAACCTGTATTGTGTGGAAGAGTTTCATACAGCAGCCAGTGGAATTACTGATGCCTTCAAAAGTCACCTAACTTGGAAATAAAGTCAAAATCAGTTTGATTTAATCTGAATCTAAATGCACCTGTTCCGTTTCTGGTCTCAGAGGTTCACTAGAGAAGAACAAGCATCATGGAGACTAAGGAACCCAGCAGCCGTTAGCAGCAGGGTTAGGTTTAGAACAACACTCCAGGTTCTGAAGAAATGAGTCTGCAACAAATGATGCAGGTGCACAGCAAATATGGAGGAAGGTAAACTGGTCTGATGAGGCTGAAATCACAAGCAAAAAGTCATGCATGGATACTAAGCATCATCCTGTATATTCTGTCCCACCTATGAAACACAGTGGTTGCAGGATGATGCTGTGGGTTGTTCTCCCACAGGGACAGGGGAGATGAGCAGATGATCAGAGTTTGCAGGAGGCCAGAGACTGAGGTGGAGGTTCACCTTCCAGCAGAAAAAGCAGGCCAAACACGAAGCCAGAGATCTAATTGTATGGTTTAAATTCATTAGTTTTTGGTCTCTGTTCCGCTTGGCGTTCACATATGTATTTGAATCGCACCAGAGTTCACTTCAGCCAAACCTAGGCCAAGGTTTGTAGGTGAATCAGAGTTTGATTTTTTTGTTTTTCACCTTCCCAAATGAAGCCGACTTTCTAGAAAAACGGACTAGAGTTCAATTAAAGCAGACTAAACAGGGCTGGTGTGAACGCACCCTTAGATCCACACCTCCTCTAACACACAGGGATAAGATAAATGGCTCATTGGCAGGAACCTGAGGAACCTGATGACGTGGTGAGGAGGTAATTTAGCTGTTTAATTCAGGTGTGATGGAGCAGTGATGCATCTAAAAGTTTGAGACCCCGGCTCTAGATGCAAAAGATGGTGACTGTAACAACTAAGTGTGGTAATATTCAGACAGAGTACTTGCCTCCCATATCTCCCTGTACGTTCCCGTCTGTAAAGGCGGGACACAGTTCAGTCATTAGCCATGCGTTACTTTGCCAGACCAATTCCAGACGTTGAGGGTCCGTTTACCTGCCTGTGTCTTGGCCTGAGGCAGGTTTCCAGAGCAACTGAAGGAAATAAGAGTCATGTTTGATGATGTGCTGCTGGTAACCTCTGACTCTGAAGCTGTCTGCCTCCACATCATTTAGACTTTCAGGAT